GCCACCACTTAATGGTTGTGGAATTTTCTGTCTGTAGATACATTTTCTTACCTCTTTATTTTGCATACCTGCTTCTCAGAAATGCAGAAATATTTCAGTTCTATCAGCTCACTGGTCTTTTTTTATGCATTCACTTGAAGTAGTTTAGATAATGTAACTGCAATGAAAACTCCACATATAAATTTGAGTCAGAGTTGACAGTACAGAAAAGCAGAGACACTGACAATAATTGTACCTGCTCTCGACACTGGGGAGGTGTCACACCAGCTGCTAGAGCTAAAGCAACACTGGGACAAACGGGTACCACAGCTCAAAAAAAAAATTCTGCTTCATACTTTTTTTCAGAGAGAGAACTGCAACTGGTCCATGCCTGCCCTCACAAGAGTATGGAGCTAGACACAAGAGACTGTGTCTGCTGTATTTTATTACATTGCTGCACTCCACTTTCTTACTGACCTCTTCCTTAGTGTATTATTAATCTTGAACATCATTCAAGTAGACACTTTGTTCTGCCCTCTTCCCCTGCCTAAGTCTGGTATCAATGTCCAACCAAACTCAAACATGCTTTGAAATTTTTCCATTTAATTAACAGAATACACACCAAGAATGCCTGACTGCGACAGATCACACAAAGATATGGATCTTGCCACCAATTAGTTATATTACAAATCCAGCTACGACTGATGTGCTGAGTTTACTGCGTTCCAGGCAGCTGATTGCAGATCTGAGACCTTGGACTACTCCACTTTTACAATGCTAAGTAGAATCAGTAATCCATTTTTTTAGGCCTCCCCATTCTTGCTCTGTCATTTAGCACTACGAATCAAGCCTACTCCCAGTAATAAGCATCAAATGCATCTAGACATTCCTGTTTGCTACTTCAATTCAGGAGGGATCTGCAATGCAAGTTTAAAAAGGAAAACTATTTTCTGTTGGAAAGTTAAGAGGTGAGCAAAAGCCATAATGGAAATCAGCTCTCCCTAGGTGGATGTGGAAGATGAAGGGGAAAAACTAAAGGATGAGATGCTACAGTTAAGGGATGAACAGCTGGCATTTTAAGGAATGTGGCTTGTAAAGCAAGAGGCTGAGTAATAAAATGGCAGATGAAGTTCAGTGGACATAGGTAATAAGTGATGCACAAGGGAAAGCCCATCTAACTCCACACTGATAGGAACAGACTCCTACCACTGTGAATCAGAGGCTGAATCTTGATGGCAGCTGTTTCATGGAGATGACACCCCCGTGCTCAGCAGCTATCAGAAAGCAAATCGAGTGTTAGGTGTTGTTACTATAGGACTAAAGAACAAACCCAGAAGATACCCCGACGCTGTCAAAACGGCAGATGAAGTTCTGGTCCCCACATCTCAAAGGGAACATGAAGATCCAGACAAGATGCAGGGGAAGATGGCAGAACATGTCCACACCAGCATTTTGGCTCAGATCAGAAGGATGCTTTCAAAACCCATCTCCCAGTCACGGTTGCTTCAAGTGCTGTGGTTCTCTTATCCCAGAGTCTTTTCAGGCCATGTGAGCTGAAGTCTCCAAGTCAGTCTGAACAAGGGGACAGCCACCACCACACTGAACATGAACTACCACCCAGTCCACAGGGGCAGGCTAAAATCTGCTGATGCAAACTTCTGTGAAATGCAGATAAGCACAGACACCAAGTCCTACTCCACTCCACCAATCCCATCCAAGCACAGCCAATGCCCAGAGGTGGTGTAGAGTATCTTCTTTATGGCAAGCACCTAAAACAACTAGGACACTTCACTCTTGGGAAGCTAAGAGCAAAGTCTCCTACATGATATGGCTCCAGAACAATATGAGTGGCATAGAACAGGATGAGGAGCAACAGCTCAGAGTCTTTCCTAAGTAAGACAGAGGAAACGTCCAACACAACAGGCAGAGGGTCAAAACAACAGATGTTTCTTCACAGAACACTTATTTAAGTAGAAGAACGTGCTAACTAAGACTGTGAATGCTGTAAGTTCATAAGGGTTCAGAAAAAAACTATCCAGATTAACTGGGGAAGGGTCCATCAGGAGCCATTACACACAGTCAGCAACACTAGCTCTGAAAGTATCTGAGCTGCAGACCTGGGGTATATCCTCCAAACTGCACTTGGGGGATACTTGAAGTAGGTAAAAACCTTCTTGTTACTGTGTTCTTTCTTGTAGGATCCACTTCAGACCAGGACAGGATACTGGCCTGGATGCACAAAATTTAGTTTGACCAAGTTGAAAAACTACTCTTGGAACAGGCAAGATAGGTGTACAAGGTGGAAAAGGAAATAACACACAGCAGCTAAGAACTTCTGTACCAAACTACTGAGCAAGCAATTCTTCCCCTTCTTTTAGGGGCACAGTCACAGGCTTCATCACCATATCAGCAGATGCAGCAATGGGGTCATGAAGTCCTACAAATCACTTTATGATGGAAAATTTATGCAGGTAGAAACTTCTGTCACTGCTGTAATGCAGCCTGCAACACTTGCAGACTTACAGACCTTTGGGGACAGACCCAGAGAGGACATTAAACTATGGGTCTGAAACTCTGGTGACCTGGCAGTGTTGGGTTAACAGTTGGACTCCATGACCTTAAAGGTCTCTTTCAAACTAAAACAATTCTATGATAAACTATCCAGAAAACAGCCTTTTTACTGCCAGCGATCCAAAAGAAAACCCAAAAGCTACAGGAAGTCACTAAACCAGAAAACATTTAAAACTCAAAGGGAATCTGCCTCAAGACATTCCTGTGCTTCACTCTTTCCAGTGCATTCCTCATCCAATCTTCTTTCTGAATTTTCACACTTGGCCAGTAAATACCTCTTCTTCTAGCACTCAGATAGGATTTATGATGCACTGCAAGTGCTGTGCAATTAACAGATTTAATGCCCGATTCATTTCCTTCTTCAAAGGCAGACTGGAGAAAAGCACAAGAGGAGATGTAGCTGTGGGTATGTCATACATATACATGATATGACAGTTCCTCCACCAGGGCTGTAAGTCAGCACATCCCTACTCTTCCTGTTGATGTATCAAACCTCTTTCAGTGTTTAGATTCCAAACTATTATTCATTCTTCAGCTTAATCATTGAGGTTTTTTTCCTACCCTCAGTATGGATTTTTTACACACCATCCCACATTTTCACTATAATTTATCAATTGCTTTTTCCACTCCATTTCACTGAATTTCTAATCTCATTTCCCCAACTACACTGTCTACAATCATAACATAACAGTGACTTTAAAAAATACACTATGCTCCACTAATTTCACAATGTGTTAAAAGAGATAACAGAGGGAATACATTCTTTCCATCTCAGTGTGATAACTTTAACTTGCATATCAGTGACAACAGTACGTAGCTTAGGAGGAGGAGGAGGAGTATAGGCATTTCTGTAAAAGGAAACTAAAGCTCTGCAATCTTAAACAGGTATGGACCAACTTGCAGTGACAGAAATGGCACCAACCCTTATGTGCAAGACCGAGCGTTCACTTCTTCCACATTTTTAATTAGCATTTGGTGGATGTTTTATTCTGAGTTATGTCGACAGGGCCTCCTCCAATCCCAGCAGCACATTTGGTTGCGGGATTATTACAGGCTCACCGTATCCTAATAGAACATCCTGCTCTGAAAGGAATTTTAAATGGCAGAACTTAGCAGCTGCTACCCAGCTGCAGTGTTAAATTCTATAAACCATCAACGCTGTGCACAAGCTACTTTCACAAGCAATTAAGACCGACTACATGAAGTACCTAGCTCAGCCCGAAGGCTATGCAAGACATGCCTTTCAGTTTTGTTCAATTACCTTGTCCTTGCCTTTGGTAAACAGAAATCCTTGTTTTATTTCCTCTCTACCACACACCTCATCTGTTTTCCAAATTACACTGCCCCAACCCGCACGCGGCGGCCTTTGGAGCATTCTTACTCTACGCCGAAGTAGATTTCACCAAAAGATTTGAAGGTAAGGTACATTACACAGCAATGTTCCTACATAAATTCAGCTGTCTAAAAAGGGTATCTCTGAACTAAGCTTCACCTCAAACATGCTCAAAAGCATAAATAAGACTTCACTTCATCCCATAAAGATTTATTCAGCCAATTTTACTTGCCACAGTGCTATAAGCCATATAGTTTGCTCAAGTAGTTTTGGCCATTTCTGCAACTTCATTTCTGAAATCAAAGTTAACACTATTTAAGTTTAAAGATTAGATATAGTCTAAATCTTATGATAACCCAACCTCATCTCTCAACATAGCAAGAGCTAGCCAGATGAAACCCCACTGGGGATAAGAACAAAGAGAAAACAGGGGGGAGGGAAGTCTAGTTTTAGATCATGATGCCCTCAAAGGCAGAAGCTCATCCGCATGACATGATGCTGACTCTAACCGCAGAAATGGTCTCAGGCTTCAAATACTGTGTGCACATTAAATGCCTAAACACTGGAAAAAAAATGCTCAGAGCCCAGTACTTGTAACAAATCGTTCTCAGGTTTTCTTACCAAATATTTAACTTTGTACATCACCCCTACCCAAACTGAGTAGCAACAGTAACTGATTTGATTCTGAGAATCTATGCCTTGAGCTAAAAAGATGACACAGTCAAACTTCCCAAGCTTCAAGAGGAATGAAGATGTCCTACTTTTTTTCAAAAGCCAAGTTATAGTATGTAAACTAAGGCAGAAAACCAGACTAATTCTATTGAATTTCTAAACAAACCAATATTAAGTCACAGAATAAGAACGGTGTCAAAGAATTAACGCTTCATGATAATATTTCCCTAGAAGACTAGAGATCAATTTTAAATATCATTAATGATTTAAGTATGTTTGGTCCTGCCTCCTGACAAAACCTTTCATGAATACTGGTTACTGTTGAAATTCTGTTCAGGAACAGAACAAACCAGCTTTGAGACACGCAGCTTCAACTCCCCATTTTAGATAATCCCAGGGAGTTAAAAACCACACGAACTGAGCAAAGAGAAGAGAAGCTACTCACGTTCCCCATGTACTCTGAAAGCAGATCCTGCAAGGCCTGTCGCACCGCATTACACTCGGCAACGATACGTTCCCGTCGGTCATCACGTGTGCAGGATGAATCAGCCATCAGGGCTGCTCCACTAATGATGCTCTCCAGGCGCTCTTCCAGGGAAGGCCTAAAACGTTCTTCGCTGAAGGTCGATGGATCCACAATAATTTGTTTCTAGTTAAATAAAAGTTTTGGCAATCAGTAATCGGACCGAGTGGGACGTTACCATTCAGTCATGAAGACCACCAACGTTCACAGCAAACCCCTGATCAGGCATGAAAGTCAAACAACACACAGTTTTGGCACTGAGGATGATTTTCATGAGTTCTTTTGTAGAATTACTAAATGGTTCCCCAGCAGATTACATTGCTAGTCATTTCTTCTGCTGCTTTGACAGCTAAACAAAACTTGGCCACAGGAAGCCTCATTACATGAATGGCAAAAACCAAATGTGCCAGCACAAATAAGGTTCAAAAGTACAGAACTCTTCTTAACTACATGTCAATCTGGACATGCCTTCACTAGTTAACTTGTCAGATATAATTATCCCATCATCAGAACAAAAATCAAGGAAAACAAACATCCAAATTACCCCTTATATAGTGGTTTAATATATAGCCCTCTGTTGTCCTCATTTATTCAGTCTTTCTTCTCTTCACCATTATGCAGGTACATACAATAGCAAAGTGAAACAGGAACAGAAATGTTTCAAACAGTACACAAATAATTTTCTCCATGGCAGAAAACAATCCCAGGGTTATTTTGACAGAATATTAGTAAGCAGAGCTCATGCAGAGAAGCTTAAGGTTGATCAGCAGTACTGATGCATCTGCTGTTCCAGGGCCAATGCCACCACCCACAGATGTTCACTAGGAAGAAGAAGTGCAATGTTTATCACCTTGTGGGTGCTTTGAGGTGATCAATTTAAAAAAGTTTGCAATTTCTTAAGGAAAAATTGCTTGGGTGTTTCGAGATTTGGTTCTTCTTCCTACTGCAGGGGTAGAAGTGGGGGATGTTGCTAACTCTGTAAAAAGAAGCCTGAAAGCTTTTTTGAACTGGGAGTTTTCACAGTCTGTACGCCAGTTAACTTCAACAGCAACATCACAACCACAACTTCTCCCACCAGCCAGCACATTCATCTCCCCATGGGGTAACCATGCAGTCTTCACAGCAGGATTAGAACGTGCCACATGTTCTCCAACACATTCCTCATTTTTCCTGAAAGTTTCAGCCGTGCACATAACAAAATGATAGCATGCTACACCTCCAGAACTGCACTGTCAAAACCAGAGATAATGATTACTTTGTTATCTTCTGGTAGCCATTTAATATTTTACCATCACAATAAAAACACTGGAGTATTGGGGGGCATGTGTGTGCAAAGCCTCTACTACAAGGGCGCAATAACACTCAAACGTTAGCAGGAAATGAAGTGCAGAGATAACATCTGCCAAGAACCCGAGCACATTTGTTTTGTCAGTCTCCTTTGGCAGGAGTGAGATGACAAAGCTACCACGCACAACATATTGGGGCTGGCCTGTTGAACAAGCCCTGCTGCTATTAGAGAACCTCACAAAGCGGAACTAAAAGCTCCAAAGCTCCACGTGAACTGCAAACACTCAAAGAAAGTCTCCAGCCATATACTAGAGAGTTCATAAAGTAAAATATGGCCATTGATCAGAAATCACACTAAATGGTTTGAGCTAAATTAGCCACTCCATGAACCTGAACTGAATAGCTTCTTCAATTTTGCGTGCCCAAGTCAGTCCTTAACATTGTGTGCTGTCACAGGACCTGCTTCCTCTCCCACAGACACCTGCCCAATCCTGCCATCCCCTGGGTGCTGGCCTCAGGCACACTCTTAAGACTTAAATTCCATCGCTTGTAGGTTCAACTAAGTAAAGCCGACCTAAAACTGAAATCACAGTCACAAAGAGCAAGACAATCATAACATTGTCTTGTTACTGAAGAGATCACACAGAAAGGCTTCACATCAGGCACAGGGACAGCTCAAATCGTTCTTTATCCTGGCAAAAGACACATGGCAGAGAAAGAAACAAGAGTGGTAAGACCAAAAGGAGAAGGTGAGCAACAAAAATGCTGTGAGGGTGGAACCTCTCTGCTGGGAGCCCAGCAGGAGGGAGTTGGGCTTGGGCAGCCTGGAGAAGGCTCCATCTGGGGAGACCTTCTGGGGGCCTGCCAGTGCTCCAACGGGCCCGTCAGAAAGATGGCAGAAAGATGGGGATGGACTTTTTATCAGGTCCTGTTGCAACAGGACAAGAGGTGATAGCTTGAAACTAAAAGAGGAAGAAAGAATTTCTTCACCATGAGAGTGGTGAGACCCTGGAATGGGTTGCCCAGGGAGGTGGTTGGGGCTCCATCCCTGGGGGTCTTTAAGGTCAGGCTGGATGAGGCTCTGGGCAGCCTGATCTAGTGGGAGGTGTCTCTGCTCATGGCAGAGGGGTTGGAACTGGGTGACCCTTGTGGTCCCTTTCAACCCTAACAGATTCTGATTGTGTTTTAGCAGAGGACTTAGGAGTGTTGTCTTGATGGTTGGACTTGATGATCTTAAAGGTCTCTTCCAGCTTAAAGTATTCTATGATTTAGACCAGAGAGAAGGAAGGGACTTTTTTTGTGCTGAGGGTGGTGAGCCCCTGTTCCAGGTTGCCCAGAGAGGTGGTTGCTGCCCCATCCCTGGAACCATTCCAGGTGAGGTTGGTTGGGGCTCTGAGCAACCTGCTCTAGTTGCAGATATCCCTGCTCCCTGCAGGAGGGTTGGCCTATATGACCTTGAAAGGTCCCTTCCCACTTAAACCAGCCTATGATTCTATGAATATCTGATAAAACCAGAAGTATTAAACGTCTTTTCCGTGATGGCTTTGTAATATTATAGACAGTTTTAGAGGTAAGTTAGTGCCACAGCATTTAAAATTCAGAGACTGAATCACTGGTAGACACAGGATACTGGCTTCAAAAGGAAAGTGTTCTCAGTAAAAATGCATGGCTGTCCTCAGTAACTTACTGAATGCAAGATAAAGAGTATGACAGATCAGTGCAACACGTCAGTGTGAAACGACTTCATTCCCAACCAAAGATCGTGTTAAACTTCCCACTTCATATTCCTCTCAATAGATAGTTTGGGCAATTCCAAATACATTATTCACTTTTAATAAGTCATTTCTGTCACCTACAAGAATACCTTACATAAATATATTATGAAATAATCAATTTCAAATAAACCAAGGGCTTACATCTAATGTAGCAGCAGGCTAACTGCTATTTCAGAGCTAGTTTAACTTGACAGCCTTCAATCACCAAGAACCACATATATAACTTTGTATATTCCATTAATCCTAATTTATAGAAAGACTTCTTAAAAAATAAAAGCCTACTTTACCTGGGACTCGGTGTATTTCAGTAGATAATGACCTTTCATAGGGAGTATAAATAAAAGGAAGCTGTTGCTAGTAAATCAGGTGAACAAGCACAAGAGTTGGAGTAACCTTTTTTCTTTAAAAAAAACAACAAAGGGTTCAAAACTTACATCAAAGTTGTTTAGAGCATAAGCCAGCTCTCCACCTCCACCCTGCTGCTGGGCAGCATCATCTGCTGCAGTGGCTTGAGCTGCGTTGGAGATGCCCGTGACCGCCTGCTGAAGCTGTTTGTAGATCAAGTCCCTGTTGGCCTTGTAAGCAGCGACGTCAGGGTGCTGCAGACAAGCCTGGGACGCTGTATAGAGGATGGGAACATTCTTCTGCAGGATTCCTCTGGCTGCTGCCATTTGATCACGGTGACCCACGTCTTTCAATTCCTACGAGGAAAATTAAAGAGAAAAAAAATAAATCTGAGAACATTCCCCACATTTAACAGCTGTACGCCATCTCCTTGCACCTTCAAAAGATAGACGGGTTCTTTGCCCGCTACACTCAGATCTATCTTCTGATTGAGTGTCCCTGGTCTTAAGTTAGTTAGTTAGTTCTTCCACTAATTTCAAAACACAACAGCTTCATAAAAACAAAACCAAAAGATATTACTGTAGTGCAATGGACAAATCAAAATCCAAGGCTGGATTTTTGCTCCTCTCCACAGCAGAGGACCAGCAGCTGGAAAGCTGGTAACATCTGTAAACAGGGAGGATGCAGAAGTTGTGAGCACACATTTTTTTTCTCCCCACTCCTTCCAGCTTGCATTACATATAAAATAAAATCAAAGAAACCTTAGCTCTCAGAACAGAATACCCTACATTTTTACATAACTTAAGAACCGAGCCGATTTTTAAATACCAGATGAACAAGAAGCTTCATCTGTAATCTTGTCTTGCACTTGCATACAAGTAGCAAGATCTTCTTGAATTGAAACTCCGAGACTCACAACCAAAATGTTTTCTTTAATCACACCTACAAGATGGAGTTTAGTTTCCTCAAGAGACTCAGGTACTTAATTTTAGAAGAGCAAGTATATCACCTCATTCGGCTTCTTGTTCATCTCCAATGAGTCAAAGTTAATCCAATGACTAACTACCACTAATTTAAGATTAGCTAGGCAAGTCCATACGTCTTTTCCCCAACACTCACTGCTGCAGTTCTCTAAAGCATCATCACTTCCATTTTGCCATAGAAGCACTCTGGCTAGATAAAGCTTGAGTCCAGCATGAGCAATACGTTTATAAAAGGAAGAATGAACACAGTTATTAGCAGTATCATAATTTTAAAGTTACTTCTTAAATCTAAGGAATAGGTGATGAAAATGAAGCAGAGAACTGCTTTACTGAGAAGAGGGGGAAAAAAAATCACCCAACAGACTCTTCAAAATAAATGGGCAATACATGACCTCTGTAAGATACACACTAAGCAGGGAGGGCCCTCCAAGCAGGCTTGCAGATTTACAGATTTAGTACAACCACTTCCCATAGCGTGGAACAATCCATCACAAAGCAGTTTAAGAACATTTATTGCATTGCCACCACAACCCTACTCCCATTTACTGCAATCAGATTTTAGATACATAACCAGCTGGCAATTCATTTTAGACTGTAGCCAGTTTATTTTCAAAGATGAATCTGTGCAAAAAAAGCCCAGCAGTGTCAGAGGTGCGTAAGCAGTTTTGGTTTGTATGTAGTAGCAGAACAAACATAAAATGCTCTACAAGAATTATGCTATTTCTGATAAACGGGGCTGCCCACACCTCTTGTTTCTTTTGAAAACTTACCTACACACAAGAATGAGTCACAACTGTGCTGTGGAACAAAAATTTTACACACAATTTAAGGTTAAGCGCAAGCTATCCAAACACAGAACAAACATGATTTTAAACCCCTTCCCAAATGGGCATTTCAGTGGGGGATTAACCAGTCTCACCACTTTCTTGGACAGAGCTGTAATTCTCTGCCCAGCTGTGACTTTTGCACCATGTTTTAAGCAGCCACGTTGAGTCTGTCCGCTGAGCGCACCAGGCACTGAGTGACATCTCAATTCTCTCTCCTTACCCACACCTGCACTGCTTCATAATGCACAGTCCAAGTCTTGGGAATGAGCATTTCATTAACATTAGCATTTCCCACTACAGCATTAACATAAGGAAATGCTGCTAGGCCAAATCCTGCCAGAAGCAGCACACTACAGCCGAGGTGACTTTCCGCTTACCAGGCAAGCTCAAATGTCCTAAACACAGCAGACTGTAACACGCAGTACTTGGAAAGTATATCTATTCCTTATACAGAAAAAGAAGAAATAATAAACAGAAGAAACTGCTGTCATCACTATACCTGTTGTCTTTTTGCTGCCATTATATTAAGCTTGTCCACTTCTGGTTTGAGGGCCTTGTACTGGATACCCAAATCCTGCTCCGTGCCAGCATTTCTTAGTTTCAAGATACCTTCTTCCACCTAAAAGAATATATATTTTTACATGTTTTCGCAAGTAATATAGTCTACAGTTCAGGAAGTAATTCAGAAAGTACTTCAGAGCAGACAGAGAAAGCAATCTTCTTCTGCCCCCTTTTATTTTTGGAGAGAGATACTTCAAAGGCTAATAGTACTTAAGGCTTAGCCCCTGCTACCTGGTCAGCAGCTACCAGAGACAGCCAAGTACGCACATCTGAAGGAGCCCAGGGCTCTGACAGAGCTGTGGCAGTGGCCAAAGGGCACAAGGAGAATCCTCAAAGCCCTGCCACAAAAGCCGGCCCAGTACTGAATCTCATTTTTTTTCAAATTCTATACAAACCACCTACCCACCCACTTGCTCATGGGAAGAAAAGGCTTCCTCAAGCATTTCACATTCGTTTTATTTAGCCTAGAAAAGCCAATTTAAGATGGAAAAGAAATGGTTACCACCTGCAGTTGCAGAGCGCAGCACATTTAGCTGCAACACTAGAAGTTCAGAATAAAGTGCAAGACAACACCAAATGCTACTGACCACGAGTGCAAAAATAAGTGACAAACCTATTGCACACGTTCTGCTCGGAGGAAGAACCCTAAAAAAAAAGCCCACACTCCAGAAGTGAGCCGCTGAGCAGGGTCAGCACACAGGCTTTGCCGTGCCGGGCAGGGCGAGGCCGCGCGGCCAAGAACTGCACTTACCACTTTGAGCTGAACGAGCAGCTTGTAGACGTCTGCCATGTCCGCCAGAATCAGCAGCCGAGTGACGGCGGAGAGGAGGGCACGGGCTGCACGGACCATGTTCCCTCGCTTCACCGAGGAGCAGGGGTCGTCTGCAAACTCCCCCGAAGCGCTCTTCATCAGCTCGCCTGCGGAGGGGAAAGGGCTCCCAGTTTAACACCCAAGGCTTGAAAACAAAACTGTGGCACGTGGCCACCACATGGTATCAGGGTCGAGGGGCTTGGGCTGGGAAATAACACTTCGGTCCTTATTTCTAACCGTACAGGTGTTTTAACAGGCCAGAATCCTCTGGAGAGGCAAATTCAGCTTGCCCTCGCCGTTCCACACAGGACTGCAGTTATTTCAGAAACTACAGTGTTTCCAAAGCTTCGGCAAAAGCTTTGATGTGCGTGCGTGTAGGAGTTAAGCAGAAAGCAGCAGAAAAGGGCTGTAAACACAGAAGGAACCGCCACAGCTCCTGGGACTGTAAACAACTCGGAGCGATGACCTGGCTGGATGTGCCCTGGTTTGCATTCAAAGCAAGGCACGGCTTCGGAAAATGCTTCAACGTTTCATAGCCTGTGGCTCTGCATCTGGTGCAGAAGCAAAGAATTTGGGTTTCAGATGGTAACAATGCCATTGGTTAACTATGAAAAGCAAAGGCCACTTTACACAGCTAGAGAAATTCCTCCAGAAGGCAAAGCATAAAAGTAATGTCTGCAGATAGACAGAGGACTAAATTTTTGATTCCTCCCCCCTGCTTTCTGGGGCAGCGTTCTGCTTCCAGTACCACAGTTCCTACACAGAGGCAAGTTTTGGAATTCACGTTGTTGTCTTTGGATGTCTTTGCATTTCAGAAACGTTTGGTGAGCAGCTAGGATTTAATTTGGAAAACGCAACGTACTGAGGGCCAAAGATTTGTGAGCAGCTGGAGATGACCAGAAAGCAGACGAGCTGTGTTATAACTGTTGTGTCAGCACCTTCCCAAACTCTCCCAAAAAGCGGCCGTGTGGTCAAATGCAAAACAAAAAGAGCACTTCTCAGGTAAGATGACAAGAAACTGGAATGGTGCTTCACAAGTGAAAGCTGGCAGGGACTCCACGGAGCCTGCTACCAAAAGAGGCTGGGCAAGATCTGCACCAAAATCTCAGGGTGATGCAGTGGTCAAGGGCTCGCCTGCTCCCACAGCCAGGGAGGGCTTCAACTTCATTTTTACAACTCTTTTTTTTTTTTAACCCCTATTTTAACTACTTAAAAATGCCTACAGCTGGAGAGGCTGGGGTTAACCATCCACATACTTGCCATTAAGCAATTAATATCTTGCCCTGGAAGAGTTTCTAGCCTCTCAAGCACTTTCCACCTTCATAGCTAAATACAGCGCAAACACAGCTGCCAGCCTGTCCAAGCAACTACATCAAGAGTCTCAATTTTGTTCAAATGCTCCCTCCTATCTAACACCCTTCCATCATCTTAAATAATACAAGGAAGACTGGCATATAACATCTTAAGATAAAAAATATGCTACTTCAGTACTGTGACATATGAAAAAAGCTCCTGACCAGTTATAAATATCAATCTGAAGCTATCCATGACCCGACCTTTTGAGGAACACAACTCTTTATTTTATCAAGTGTTAAGAGCCTCAGATTTCCAGATGGGTGAAACAATGCATCTCCAGAGATGAAAAACTGCAGCCAGCTGTGAGATTATAAACCCCCTACGCAGCTGATACGACCCTTTCTTTATTCCTTCTGGAAGAGGCTAATAGGAGTGAAATTAATGTCACCATCACAAGTATGAGATCGATTAAGAATCTCAGGATTTAAGGATATATGTCAGAACCAGAATTCACTACAAATATTTCCTCCCTTATTTACTTATATGTAAAATTCTCACATTTCCAACTCCCAGAAGAGAGGGGTGTTATTTTCATTTATTTCCTATTTAAAACAGTTTAAAGAGGTGGCCACTCACTTAATCTGAATCTCAGAAATTGCTAACTAGGTTAAAAACCAAAATTATCCTCTACCCATCTTTTCAGCTGCAATCTTACAAGCCAGTCCTAAGATAAAATGCTATTCCTTTTTATTTTAACAAGAGACTTAAAAAGATTTAGTGAATTTCAAACAGCTTGTCAGGGTGTCAAAAGACAGCCAGCTTCCCTGAATTAAAGGAAGATTATATTTAAAGTTGTTGCATATATATTTATTATTCTGCAAATTAAAGAAAGCTGGCCTTCAGACTTCTTTTACAAGGAAAAAGCAACATAGGGTAGTTATTGTGTGGGTGCATTCGCTGTTCAAACTGGACCCAGTGTAATCTCCTCATTTTCAAATCTGAACCAGAGGTAACACAGCAAGTTTGAAAGCAGGATTTCAACAGTTAAAAGAAATGCAGTGCAGAGGAGTCAGACTATAAGGCTCAGATTATACAGCTGGTACAAATCCTTCTATGAGGAATCGGGTTTTCCAATATAACCTTAGATTTTCACTAGATATTACAAGGGAAAGATAATAAAGCCTAGTGGAGAAAAGAAGAGGAAAGAGTAGCCATACTATGATCCTGTCAATAAAGCACTAAGAATTCAATTAAATCTAATGGAACAAAGCCCATTTCAGAAATAGTAAGATTTTAGTCCATCAAAAGAAAATTACCATTTTCTAGTCTCATTCCCACTGTGCCCACAGGGGCTGCTGGCACTTTCAGACAGCACTATTAACGCTCCTCAGCAGCGCGGTACACGATGACCATGATGGAGAGGGCTTGCTTCACATGAACATGGACAGAGGAGGGAAGCAGCAGAGGAGACAGGCAAGGCAAGACAAGGCAGAGAGGACCTAGGACGTGCACAGGCCCTGGGGCTTTTTCTCCAAGCTAGAAGTTCATGCCCCTGCACCACCCTGTACCCCTCAGCACCTTCCAGCTCACAGCCTGACCCCAGGCTGCTTTGGCAGCAGGATTAGAAAGCCAAAGAGTGCCAGCAGCCATACCTCTGCCTGCTCCTAACACTCCAGCACAGTCCCTAGACGTTCCCATTCCCCACCAAACGAAGAGAGCCACGGAACCAGCTTCAAGGCTACACTATCCTGGACACAGACATGCTGTCTTACCACTAATGCCACCTTCTTGCTTTCTACCATAAAGGATGAGGCCCCATGGGTCCTAATCACAGAACCATAGGGCAGCTTGGGTTAGAGAGGACCTTTCAAGGTCATCTGGTCCAACCCCCCTGCAGGGAGCAGAGACATCTGCAACTAGAGCAGGTTGCTCAGAGCCCCGGCCAGCCTCACCTGGAATGGTTCCAGGGATGGGGCAGTGACCACCTCTCTGGGCAACCTGGGACAGGGGCTCACCGCCCTCAGTATAAACAATCCTTCCTTCTCTCTAGTCTAAATCTCCCCTCTTTCAGTTTAAAACCATCATCCCTTGTCCTGCCACAAGCACTGCTAAAATATTGTCCACGTCTTTCTGATAGTCCCCCTTTAAGTCCTCAAAGGCTACAAGGTCACCCCAGAGCCTTCTCTTCTCCAAGCTGACCAAGCCCAACTCCCTCAGCCTGGCCTCACAGCAGAGGGCTTCCAGCCCTTGGCTCATTTTTGTGGCACTCAATAATGCCATGTCAACTTGGGAGTTGCTACTTATGGCAACAAAAGCTTCTGTTAACTCCTTAATCTTCAATTAAACCCATATCCTGCCTACAACACTCCTACAGTCTGCCAAGAGCTGTCTCAGAGCTCCCTTAGGTTACAGCTTGTAAAAGATCTAAAGTCCTTGACTGGAGGATTACTTCTAATACAAGTGATACATGCTTGAAACATTTTTCTCACAACTGAGAACTCTTCGCAACCTTCCTAGAAATTAAGCTAAATGGTCACAACAGAGTTTTCCAAGAAGAATTCAGAGCTCAAGTTATTCTGCAACTGGCCTCCTTCTGTTCCTTGGAAATCCTGAAGCCACGCATCTTTTGTGAACTACAGCTGAAAAAATGTTTTGCTCATTCATAATTTGCCTCACTGGTTTGTTTTTCAGAAAGCTTCACTCAAACACGGAGCAGAAAGACACCATGCTGAATAAGGAGGTTCACTCCCTGCATTTGCACCTGTAAGACATGATCAAAATCCACAGGACTCATGAGACCATTCATCCACTCTCATACCTCAAATCCTATGCGCAGGCTCAAGCTTTTTAATTTTAAGCTTTAATTTTCGGTCTTTTATGTGAAATTACCACAGGAAGAAACAGATCAGTAAAAGCATAGCTTGTAGCCTAGATACTGCCATACAGACACATACAGGCAGTAAACTATGACCATTAATAGTCCAGAAGACCAGGAATAGCCCTGGTCAGCCTGATCAAAAGAAATCTCCTTCTTGCTCTCAGCATCTGCAGCATGTCTCAGTGCCAAGCACTGGGTAAGAAACGGCTACAGTTCCAAAACACCTCTCAAGAGCACCAGAAGAACCAACCACTTCGAGGTACACTCAGACTTCAGTGCCTGTAAGAAGGTAGAACCCTGAGAAGAGCTTAGAGTGAGGGAGAAGACTGGGCAAGGCCAGCATTGCCCCTTTATTACGCAGCAAAGCTCCAACAGCAAATTAACATAACACACACTGCAAGGATGCTGAAATCCAAGGCGTTGACATCAGATGGCTCCCACTACTAAGTCTCTTCTAAAACCACCATGGGATCTATTCTGAAAAACAGTTTCTTTGCCTCCACTATTCTGTCAAAAATCTAATCTTCAAAGCTGTCAATATTCCAAAGCTTTAAAGGGCCAGGAATCTTACTTTAGGATATTTCATGTACTTATTTAATATTTAAAGCAAGCCGTAATTTATTCTTCCATTGTAAAAATCAGGAAGATTTTGAAGATCCACTTATATTGATTTAGTACGTGGCCATACTATCATTCATTCTAAATAGCTCTTTCCACTTCTTTGTTTTTAACCCCAACAAATGAGATTTTATGAACAAGCGTGCTCACTAAAATCGTGTACCCTCTCAATCTTCTTCTTGCTAGGCTAAAAAAAAAATTTTAATTTTCTCTGATGAGACAAGTTATCTATTGTCCTAATCATCTTCATAACCTCTGCCTACATTCATTCATCTTTTTTTTATTATGGTAACTAAACCACTCCATACTCTAAACAGAGGCATTATTAATTCTATTTTCCTGTCTTCTGCTGGAGATTAATTGTGCTACACATCTATAATCCCACTGATGCCACCAGACACACAGACGCTGCCAGTTTGTGATCACCTCACCACTGAACAAGACACCCAGATTCTCCTCTCCACTTCTGCTCCCCGCTGCAAAAGGCACCAATACCTGGAAGCCCTGCTCAGCACACACAGGCTTTGTGTTACGCTTCCCTTGTCTGCCCAGTTCATCAGTCCAGCTGGTCTATCACAATACTGGAAACACTACATCCAGAGTTTGCATGTCCTTGTTGATCAAGAACTGCAACACCCCCCCAGGCATGGCAGCAATAAGCCACCCCTCTGCTGTGTCTCATTTTTTACCATTTGCTTCTCATTTCCTCAAAGGCTGGTTTGGGTTTTAATTTCCTTATGAAGAGCTGCTCTGCTAAACCTGACTGAACGTTGGCATCACAACAGGGCTTTTATCCCCAGTCATACTGCCCCAGCAGCCCAGCCCTGCTGCAAGTGAAAGCCCACAAGCAGCAGTGGGCACAAATCCCAGAATTCCAGCACCACAGGGGTTGGAAGGACCTCTGGAGATCACCTCATCCAACCCCCCTGCTCCAGCAGGTCACCCACAGCAGGGTGCCGAGGATGGCATCCAGGCAGGTTTGGAATCTCTCCAGAGAAGGAGACTCCACAGCCTCTCTGGGCAGCCTGCCCCAGGGCTCCATCACCCTCACACCAAAGAAGCTTCTGCTTACATCACGTTCAGCCGAATCACTCGGGACTAATCACCATCCACCCAACTTCAGCCGACAGACACAGCTATCCTTGCTACGCACCAGACTTCATGCAAACAGTACAAAGAAGGGAAGAACTGAAGCAACATTAAAGTGGGAAGTTATTTCACCCCAGCACCTCTCAGCTATCAGCTCCACATCCTCTGTCAGAAATCAGTGGAGGAGGGTGGTTTTGGCATCATGTCCATGTGTAGTCTCAAAATCAAGCAGGGCCCAAGAAACAAGCAAAAGGGGCATCCTGAAGGTTTTCATACCAGTCCCTCCTTCCTACCAGCTTCTCACTGCAATAGCAAACTACAAATTCAGCTCATGGAATTTCCTGGGCCTGGGGAGTGAGTACAGCTCCCTAATATCACGACGAGACGTTTGAAGGTACTCACAGCTGCACTCCAACTCAGCTGGGAGCAGCAATCAAGCAAGCACCAAGCATTAGAGGCTTCAGGACAAAGGGGTCTCTTTTGCTGTTGTTTGTTGTTGTTAAATTAAGCCAACTCAATTAGCCCCTTATATTGCAGCCTTCTTTATGTTGATCTTTCTTTGGTCTGTCAACCAGGCTCGTCTAGAACTTCATTTTCAACTAGTATTTCATCACTGTGCAACTTCAGCTACAAACAAGTAATTAATGCTAATGAGTTTTTCTTTTTTTGCAGCAGCAGCCATCACCATTAATACCAGTTGACTGGGTTTCACTGAAGCATAGAAAAAGCTCATGACTGGAAGAATGATAAATGATTTATGAGCAACAATATTTACTTTAGAGTAAGCTCCATGGGCTTTTCTTGCAGGTCTTCTCCAAGAAAGTAAAAGAGAAAATGATAAAAATCAGCACTAGCTGTGGGGGAGGAAGCCTGGAATATTTAATCGAGGTCCTCGTGTTCTATTTGTTGCTTGTTTACATTTTGCATATTCAAGACACCCGGCTCTGTCAAGTCAACACTCAGCTCTTCCTCTGACAATGCTGTTTTGTACACATGCAAATATTGAAGTTATTGACATATTTGAGATGCAGTTCCACAACATTTATAAGCAGGGACGGGCTGGGAGGAAGTTCACTTTTTAGCCCAAACTGAGTTTTAAATGCTCTTCATAGAATCAGTCCTTCTGCTTCTTCTCTCTCTCGACTTGGGACACCCAATTTCCAGCTCTGCCCAGTTCAGACTATTCCTCAAGGAAGCCAGCAAGACAGGACAAGAATCTACGCAAGTGGAGAGACACAGAA